CCGAGCATCCCTCGCCCCGCAGCGTGTAGCAAGGGTGCCCTCTGGTGGCCCAGCGCCGCCAGTGCCGTGCGAGGTCGTTGTAAAGTGAACCGCATGTGCACGGTGGTTCGCGTAGAGAACGCAGTATCGCAAACATGCAGGGCAACAAAACCGAAATCAGCATTTGAATACAGAACCATTTTGCCCACTGTATGCTACAGACTAGAATAAGGAGGAACTCTTTGTCAAGAACAAAGCAGGCTGGCAAATCTTCACAAACCGCATAAAAGAAAGTCAGGAGGGGGAAGTCAAATTCCAATGAAAGAAAAAAGGCAGCTATGAAGGACGTGAGAGCCTTAATCTGGAACATGAATTCCAAAGTGCAGCGACAGGCACCTGATGAAAGAAAACACCACCAGGAAGATGGATTATTTCCTGTGCATTCTTCCTATCACTTTTCCTGGGATAGCCTTTTCTAAAGCAGTAGACATACAGGGCCAATCCCAGCAGCTTTGCTGAAAGAGTCTTATTGCAAACCACAGTGTAAACAGCAGTCAAGAATAGAGGACAAAGCTCTAGAGAGTAAGCAGAAAGGAGGTGGGTCTTCTCTTAGGAGAACAAGTACCTTGGCTCGTACATTTACTTTCTATTTCTGTGAACAATTCTGACACCGAAGTATTAACACATCACAGTTCTGATTTCTCCTATTCCCTGGGAGATCAATGCTTAGGACAGAATTAAATTCGATTAGATTCATCCTACATTAATCATGTTCAAGGACCCAATTCAGGGTGGTTTAAGGACACCTCTTAAAGCCAACACTCGCATGAACAACACACACACCCCCTCCTTCCATAAAACAGAGCACCTTTCTATGGGAAATGCATCTGTCCCCAGTTCACAGGAGACATGAAACTGCATTTGTGTATCAGCTATCTTCAGGAAATCCTCTACAGTAGGGCAGAGAAACTACACCATCCTACTGCCACTGTTCAGAGATGTGCCAGCTTGAACCCCTCAGCACAACTGCTCCACTAACATCACTGTGCACAGTTGCACACCCTGCTTGTCTGCAGCCCCGAGCCCGAGACAGATGCTGTGGGCATGCCACAATGGGAGTGCTCACTCGCATTAAGCTCACACGCAAATACAGCCCTGGGAATCCACGTCTGCACACAGGACCTAGCAGAGCATCTAAAGAAGACTGTAGGCATGAGCTTTTTTTTGTCATTTTTATTTGAACACAGTATTCTGACAGAATGCAAAGTCAAAATCCTCAGTTAGTATCAGTATTTACACCAGTGAGAATGGGAATAAAGGTGGAACCGATGTTTCACTTGGTAAAAAGATTTTTTGTTTTTTTGTTTTTTTAACAAGATAGAAGGCCCCCAAAAGTAGGGAATGCTCGGTAAGGATGTCAATGGAGGGTCTGAGAACAACTATCAAAACAGCCTAGTGTGAAAATGTGGGGTTTGAAGGCTCCATAGAAAAGTGTGAAAATAGAACTCCACTCTAAAAGCTGAACAACTGGATGCACTATTATCATCTTTACGTATGGTGCAGCATGAAATGTAATCACTCCACAACTAGAAGCTGATCAGTCTGCATTGCCATATAGATATATATGTATGGCATGGATACATATATAAACATATACAGCATAAACGGTGTCAGGTTGGTCCCTCTTCAAAGGTTTAAATAAAAGCAATGAAGCCAAAGCTATCTTGGAAATGCGACACTTCTAAATTAAAATCAATTTTTCTCCATTAAGGGGGAGCATAAAGCCACTCTCCAGAATTAATCTACAACTACTGGGAGGTGTCACAAGGAGTTGGATGGACACTCCCAGTGTTCATGCAATCACAGGGTTCACTTCTGCCTTGCAATGGTGCTCACTCTGTCAATCTCAACACAAACCCACTGCAGTCAGCAGGGTACTTTCTAATGATCTGAGTGTTGGATCAAGCTTTGAGCTGGGTACTTTCTATGCCAGAAATGCCGACCCAAGTGGTAAGTTACCACAATTTTCAGACAACAAGTGCTGACCAGAGCCACCGGACATGCTTCTGGTTGTTCGCATCGTGCAGCATTTGTTTCCTAACAGCTGCTCAGCTCTCAGAGTTACAGCTTCGGAGGTGTAATGTACAGGTGACAAAAGCAGTGAAAAACTCTGCAGAAATGAGGAACAAGTTGTTGCAGTCATCAACAGGAATGGAAGTACAAGCTACCTACCCACTAGTCCTCTGCTGCCCCGAGGGCTCTCCCCAGCCATAGACAGACAATGGTAGCTTTTTGTGCTACATTTTATGGATTCATTTCTTAGGAAAAAAATCCAAACTTCCCCATAGTTATACCAACACTGCTGTGATGGGTCATGCAGGGACCAAATTGACAAGGCTTTGAAGTGAGGACCCATCCTGCCCCATTATCCTGCTCAGGATGGGTATTGCATGAGTGTCTACGCCTGCATATCCAGTCATCCTCCATTTGCATCCCAGGAGCTAAGGAAAAAATGCAAAAAACCCCACACTTAGCAAATGACAAGACCATTATTTTTCACAGTTTGAAATTATGTGATGCTACTGTAGAAGACTGCATACTTAGAGGAATACACTTAGAAAAGTGGCTCAATTTACCTGAGCCAAACCGCAGTCTACCCACCCCCTGTCATCCTTCTGTTCATCACCGTAGCACAACGGAATGGATGCCATAGTCAGCTCAGTTTGATTTTTCATTTAAAGGCTTCTGTTCCTTTTAAGAGTTGTTCTCTTTTTTTTTCTTTTTCCTGAATATTTGTTTTCGAATCTGAACTATCGCTACACCTTCCACATCCAAACTATGTTGAAGCTTTTATTATTTCAATACTATGACAAAAAACACGTTTCACACTAAAATAGTCACGCACCCACAGTGCACAAGCTTGCAGATCTAAAGTAGAACAAAACAAGAAAACAAAATTAAAAAAAGAAAAAAAGAAAAAAAGAGAAAAAAACCAAAACCCCAACAGAAGGAACATCTCTATACAAAGGGCTGGTCTTCTCCTATATGCCTTCGTTCTGCTCTTTTCACCCCAAAATCTCAGTGTTATTCCATGGCTCCCAATGCTAAACATCACCGATAAGCTCCCCTGTCCATAATGATAATACACATACTGCATCAGGCCCCTTTTCCAACTGTTAAAGACATGATGCCCAGACAAATGAAATCACTAGGAGTGCTGGCATTGATTTCCAAGCACCCCCTCTTGATTTCATGGTTTTGATTTTGCAGAGCATAGATTGATTACAATACACATGATACGATAGAATAGTTCAGTTGGAAGGGACCTACAATGCTCATCTAGTCCAACTGCTGATGGAGCTAGCTTTGCAGGAGGGGTCTTGTATGCTGCCAAGCACCCTTATGCAAAACATCTTTGCTTTTAAATCAGCATCCTAGAGTCAAAGGAAGTGGTATTCACTCACATATTAAGTCAGAATTGATGTAGTCCAACATCTGAGATGAGACAAGACCAGACCAGACCAGACCAGCCCTAACTGTACAATCTCCCTTCTGCTTCTCAAAGCTCCGGGAGGGTGCCATGAAGGAAAGGGGAGAATGTCCTAAAAAAGCAGAGATGATATTTCTCTTATGCAGTCAGGCCCAAGTCCAGCAAGGGACTTAAACTCTTCCTAAATTTAAGTATAGAAGGACTCTCACCAGCAATTCTCTCATTCCAAGTTAAGCTGTGTTTATATGGATTGCTGGATAAAGACCTTGATTGGTGGCAAATTATTTGAATACCCCCACCCACCCAAAAAAACACCCCAAACCAAGCCCCAGCATTACTTTTCTTCTTACTCCAGTAAGAAATAATAATAATAATAATAATCATAATAATAACAACAACAACAATTAAGAAAAGATAAAGGGGAAACAACTACTGTAAACATCCATGTTTTAAAATGTCTCCCTTAGCAAAGCAAGCATGCTGCTAACCTAGTGTCTATAGACTGTATTTACTTAAAAAAAAAACCCAAAAAAAAAAAAAAGGCAGCTATTTTACACATACATTTAAACACAACAAAAGTTTAAAAAAATCTGTCAATTGTAAACACTGGAAAGAACAAAAGTTGGCAAAAAATAACATAAAATTTAAAGAAATGTAGAGTCTGAATACTGCAAATTGAAATATATCCCCCCCCGAAGCTGCAATTTTGGCATTCTTCCTAAAAAATGATAATAATAACCCCCAAATAAATGTCTAACATGGAGAACAGAATTCAGTCACAAAGAGCTCGAGACGCTTTGCATACTGAACAAATACAAGGTGAACAGAAATTATAACTTATTTATGAGGCTTTACATATTTCAAACTCGACTGAAAAGTATAAAAATAAATTGTGGACTTTGTTCATTAAGTACCAGCTGCACCGAGAAGCACAGTGGTTTATATCTGCTATTCTAATGAAGGAAAGAACAGGGTCTTTTTTTTTTGTCTTTTTTTTTTTTTTTCTTTTTTTGTCTTTTTTTTTGTGTCTAGGACTAGTTCATTTTGAGCTTCCCAACCACACTGAAAATGGGATTTGCCATTTTGCTTCTCTGAAGATACACAGGGTCACCTGAGCCCTGGTTTGGTTACGGGTTTAACCCTGTTTTTAAAATGTATTACTTTTCAAAAGCAAGTGCACAACAAATAGAACCTTTCTAGAAATCTTAAGGAAAAAAAAAAAGGAGAGAAAATAAAAGAAAAAAAAGAGAGATTCCCCCCTCCCCCCATTTATGCATTTTCTGTTTTGTTTGTTTTTTTAAAAAAAGGCAACAGACACTAGAGGAATGAGATGTGTGTTGTGTTCTGTGTTTTAAATGCTTGGGTGAAGTTGTTCTGTCATTTGCTTTCATCTGTCGCTGATCATGCTTTGCTCTCATTTTCGTTTGTTTGTGTGGCTTCATTGGGGACCGTCTTGACTTCTGCTGGAGGTGTCTTGGTTTCCGTTGCTTGCACTTCAGATTTGTCTTCTACTGGGATTTTCCTAAAGGAGAATCACCAAATGGCACAGTTTAGAGGCAGAGAAATATAGACTCTCTATTGCTGAATTAGTGATAAGGAAAGAATATGTTTCTGCAATCAAGCAAGTGTATCGCCTTGCCAGAGCAAAATTAGCATTTTCAGATGTAGAAATAAGTAAAACCAAACTCACCCCCCTTCCCCAGCTTCATTTAGCTCTAGTGAAATCTTTTTTGATTCACATACTAGTAGGATGAGGTCCCAGGCTGCAGCAGAGGCACAAGTTGTGTTGCGATGTGCAAAACCAAAAAGGAGGAAAAGGGAAAACTCACACAATCGCAAAGGGATTTGATTTTAACATCACTCATTTATGTCACCCAAATGTCCTATTAGAGCAGACTGCCATTTGAGCTGAAACACCTTTTTCCCTTCAGGAAGTCAGCCCCAGAATTTCCCAGTATGTTGCACGAAGGGAAACACAGCAGAAGTGAATTTTGTCAAGCATATTTTCACAAGTGTAAGGGAGGTCAACATCTTCACAGGCTAAAACTCCGGTTCATCAAGCCTGCCTTTTGGCACTTTACTAAACAATCAGAGAAGCCTATTTGTCCAATGCACTCTTCATAGTCATGACAAGTGCCACTCAAGGCATATCTGGTGGCCTCCCTGAAGAAGTGCCAGTTCCAGCCCATCAGCCACAAAGTTCGGCTGAGATCACTGCACTCTTAAATCATCCTGCTGAGCAGGTGAGATGAATCTAGCCTATGGCTGCAATACTGATTCGCATCAAGGGAAGCCAGTGAGCAGCACAGATAGAAGGTGGCTGGATCATCAGAAAGAACACAGCTCTGCATCCCACCATACCAACAATTCATTTACAACACAGAGACCAAGTTGCATTAATTCAGTTGAAATGCTTCCTTACTATGGGCAAACCATTTCCTTCCCCCTTTCAGCTTGGTACCAATCACAGTTCTCTATTTGGCTTGTCCTTCTGTAGCACCCAGCATGACAAGGCAGTGGCTTCAGGTGCAGTGAACTGGAGTGAACCTGGACTTCTCTGCTTGGGAGTTGCTTAGCTGCACCCACCAAGGCTGCCTGGTTCCCTCCAACCCTAGCGCATCTGCTGTGCCATCCAGGCTTTCCAGGAAGGACCAGATGCTCCACAGCTGTGTGGGGCACAAGGCAGTCCTGGGGAACAGACACACAGCAGGAATGTCTCCTGCCTTAGGGAAGGACAGAAGCACAGCAGGGAGGCAAGGAGATCAGAGCTGCAAGATACAAAGGAACCTGAATAATACAGTAAAATAGCATGGGGTTTTCACTCAGATCTGGAGAAAAGCCTAGTTCTTGGTCCTATAGTACCTGCCCAACTGCTCTTCTGCAAGTGCTAGCATTGCAATCACAGTGTCAAAGCCAATGATCAAGGCCAATGCTTTACTCTGGATTAAACACAAAGATTCCAGAATGAGGTAATTTTCCTGGAGATGGAAAAGTTCTAACCAAAGGTGTCATTTAGGGTATGCTTCTGGTGTCGTTGCTGTAGCATAGACTAAATTTAGCTGTGTGAGCTATAAACCTAGCTCGAGAACAGCTAGGTTTTTGGCAGCAATCTAGCTGACAGTGCAGATCCCAGCATCCTCAGTTCACTTTCCTTTGCGAAAGCTAAAGATGCAGTGTGAACCCACTCATGCTCTTTTCACTCTTCAGTTACTGTGTGACTGCCAAGGTGCAGGCTTGTCCCAACTGTCCAGGGGGTGTAAGGCTCCAAAGGACCCCTAGGGTTGTCCTGCCTAGGGGCATGCTGATACTCTGAATCAATCATCAGGAGAAGCTAAAGAGGAGACCCAGTACAGTGGATGAGGACTCGTCTCTAATACACCATGACACCACACTGCCAAGTTATCCTGACCCAACATGTGCTGTGACTGCTTCCCCTCCCTCAGACAGGATGGCATTGCTTCATCCTTTTGCCAGTTTATAGACAAATCCAGAGGTACCATGCTTTTACAGTTTCACATGCACTGGGTTCTGCCCTGCCTTACACTGAAGTAACTTGTGAACGGCTCCACTGATCTGTTAGAATTTGGGTGGCTGTGCTCCTGGAACTGCAGGAACTTGGTGCCTCTGAGGAAAGCAATTCCTTTACACCAAACTGAACTGTTTCTGATCCGTTTCATAACAAAATAACTCACGATAGACAAAGCTGCATACAAGTCTAAAGGATAACACATTTATGAAAGTCTTGGTTTTGTCTTTTCCCTGCTACAGCCTATTCCTGCTTTGCTCCGGGACCTTTAAAGCCAAGCCCTGTTCAGAGGTGAGTTAGTTTACTAAGGAAACAATGAGATTAGTTAAGAGAACACCCAACAAGAACACAGCACAAGCACCAGTGCACAAGAGACACAGCACACAACCAACAGAAGATTAAAGGCAGCCATACTCGGTCTTTGCAGGTGCAGCAGGTACAGAGCTGTCTGCAGTGGAAGAAGCAAGCTCACGAGCTTGCCCACTAGTCACACTGGCAGGAGTAGGAGTGCCAAGAGCTGCAAAAACATCCTTTGCAAGATCAATGTCTGGTGTCTTGAAGGTCCCTTCGTCCATTTTAAAGTCCTCATTCTGGGAGGGGTTTGTGGTGCTGCCTGAAGCAGCCTCGCTCTTCAGATTGCTTGGGTTCTTGGTTGTCTCTGTTGGGCTCTTCACTGTACTGGGCTGTACAGCTTCCTTTTCAGGGCTCTTGGTGCTTGAGACCTCCTGCTTGGGCTCTGATGGAGCTGGAGGACTAGTGAGGTTTGGAGGGCTTGGGGCAGCTGGCTTGTTACCAGCTGCCACTTTGGCGGTCTTGGCCACGTTAGCAACAGAGCTGGGGCTGAGCACTGCACCTTGGTTAGACAGGACACTTGAAGACAAATTATTAGTAGCTGGAGTAGAGCTTGGGGTATCGCTGAGATCAACAAGGGGGGCCACTTTGGGGGTGGAAGAGGGTGGTGGTGAAGAAACTGAAGTGGCTGCCCCTTTGGCTGGAGTAGCCTGGCCAGGCAACATGGAGTTTGAGTCAGGAATGGCCGTGGCTGGCAGGGCAATACTGGAGGTCAGCGTAGTGGTCTCGCTGGTGGGGCTGTTCTGAGCAGTGGCAAAAGTTTCAGTGATAGTGTCAGAGTTAGTGGTGCCCGTAGTTACAGAAGGCAGCATGTCCTCAACAGTGGCTGCAGTATCAGCAGGGTGCCTGTGAAGAGGGCAGGAGTAGAAGAGAAATAGAGACAATGAAGCCCGTAAATGACAGCAGAGGAAAGGGGAGAGTATTAAGAGTGTTGAGAGTGTCAAGAGTGAGAAGGCAAGTGGGTGGTGCAGCAGCAGTGTGGCACGTGATTACAACACACACAGAACACGAAGAGCTACTCAGAGGAGCAGAAACCTTTCAGTGGTCAAACGTGCAAAGGGTAGTAAGGGCTGGCTAGGATGACCGAAGAGTAACTAGGAAGAGAGAAAGAGCAAAGAGGACATGACCTTCAGGAATGGCTTGGTCACACAGATTTTGGTTTAGCCAAACGTAACCTCGTCAACTTGCAGAGATTCTTCTCTTTTAGCCCAGCTTTCCTCTCAGCCTCTTCCATCTAACCTCACAAGGAAGCTTTCTACCAGTTCCCCGAGCTTGTAGCCTGTGCCATGTCACCACACAACAGGATCCCAGTGTAGGACCCCTAAATCCAGTCCCTCATCTTGGCCCTGTCCTTTTCCCTGCCTAACTCCTTCATCAAACCACACAGAATAGAATTCTTTTCTCACACACACATAATGCATATATATATACACATACATATATGCAGCTTTCAGGTGTTGTTTGGTGCCCTTCTGACCAGATTCCAGCCTGCTGTGTTAGCTGCAATAAGGTTTGCTTTAGGACAATGTCCGAGTGTAACTATGCTTTAGCAGCCATGATGATTGCCTTAAACTAGTACATGCACGTGAGGCTGGAAGAACAAATATGAGGAGCCAGAGTGCCCGAGAACACCACCTCATGCTTATTAACACAGAGAAAACCCTCATAGAGGAGAATAACTGAGTTAAAACTGGAAAGATTACCCAAGAAAATCAGGACAATATATATCCTAGCTATTCATCACTGCTGCACGTCTGCATTTCAGTGCTGGTTGTGGACACAGCCTCCTTTCTCCTCTAACCACAAGGCTTCCAGCAGAGCCATTTTACCAGTGGGCCGCACTGCTAACCCAATCAAAGGAGATAAGCAGTATGCAGGTGGAAAAGCCTGACCACCTCACCACTGTGATGATTCTGCTGAAGGGAAAGAACACAACTTGTGCCATCAATCCCAAACCTGACTCAAGTATTTATAAGCATTTCAGCAGCTTCCTGAAGTGAATTCCTCCCATTATTACTCTAGAAGCTATAGAGAAGTACTTAATGTAGACAGTGGACAATACTTAAACTTTACCAATACCATGGCCTCAGACACTCAGGCCCAAAACAAGTTCTCTGATATAAACAAAGCTCATAGGTAGCTCTTAGGCCTCTCACATTAAAAACAGACTTGCCATGCTTTCCCCCAAAACCCAGAGCGCAGCTACTCTGCTGCTATCAAGTGGAGAGCACAGTGTCCAAGCACTCATCCGGCATTTCTAGGGCAGAGCTCAAGCAGGAGTTGGTGCTAACTGGGGGCTGGTTTTGCTCTGGATCCTTTGCAGTGAACCTGGCCAGGTGCCTGATCTACACACTGGACAGGACTAGCAGAGACAGGTCCTTCAGAAAATATTGCTCTACTCCCCTTTCCTTTCCAGTGCTGGAAACAGGAGCCACTGAATATGAGGAAATAGAGGAGGTATTTCCTTTCTGATGTGCCGCAAGTGGAATGTGGAGTTTTTACCTTTCTTCTCTTCCAGCCCTAAGTCATGGGCATGAGAGATCAGGGATTAGGGCAACCAAGGGCAATGTATTGACTTTGTGTTAAGACTGACTAATGCCAACATACTCTGGCTCTGTCAGCGGGGTGGTCTCATTGGGCTCTGTGTGTTTTCCCCCATCATGGTTGGGCGTCCGCTCCTCTTCAGTCCGCACCTCCACAATTGGCTCCTTGGACTCATCTTTCCTGTAACAAAGGAATTGCATGGAGGTTGGTTCCCATTCACACTAGGTATCCTCCCGCAAAGACATGCTGCAGATGTTGACAGTGAATGACAGAGAATGGCCTGAACAGCAGATTACTTCTTTTTGTCACTTCCCCTTCTAGTTATCACCTACAGCACAGGAGACCACTGTGATGTCCAGCATTTGGGCCGGCCATTTGATGGCTATTAACACAAACAGGACAAAACCAGAGAAACAGCTGAAGAACCCCCCTTCAGAAAGAGCTGAATAATATAAAGCAGAACCAGCATGGCCCCAGATCTTTTCAGTACCCTCCCATCAGAGATGAGGAATCCAGAACTCCCTAAAACAGTTTCTTTTCCAAAGTTGCTGAAGAGACACACTGATCAACAGAAAGAAGTATATAAGTGATGACAGTACTCACGAGAAGGCAGCTTTGCCCTCCTCCATGTCTTTGCCCTTTGCTCCTGGGCCGGATTTGCCACATAAGTTGACAGCAATGCACATCAGCAAGCCACACTTGTTCAGGAAGTAGCAGGTGACATCCACAGCCACCAGGAGCAGCACAAAGATAACAATGAGAATGCCTACGATGGCAGCAGTCCCAAGGCCTGATGTTGGGCTAGTGCTGGCTTTAGAGACCAAAAAGAGAAGAAAAGAAGGCACTGTAGTTAAAAGGTGAGTTGGGGCTAGTTACGGCTCAAATTTGACTATGCTTAGGTTGCAAGCATGGGAAACTTGCAGAAAGTACACCCTCTCTCTAGTAGCCTTGTGTTTTAACCAGTATTCTGTCCTAAAGACATGCAGGACAACATATCTAAAAAGACAGGTTCACTTGGACCTAATGGGGCTTTTCCATCTCCCTGGGCTAGGGTCTGGAAAGCAGACTACAGAAACCTCTTCTACTGCAGCATATACCCAGCTGGAATTCTGAAGGGCTGTTTCTCTCCATCACTTCCTCAAGATGAAGGCTGTGTCGAGGGTCCAGAGTGACTTTTGCACTACCAGTCCAGTACAAGGACAAGTGTAAGTGAAGCCTAGAATCCATAGCTTGACTTGCCCTGGTGGGACTCAGAATACTGGGTGATACCTGTGGGGTCTCAGCTTTGGTTAGCCCCTTACACCATATGACAAAAGGAGGAATTAAAACCCTTCCAGGTATGACCCAGCTATCCAGAACTGGAAAGTGGTAAGTTTTTTATGTCTCACGCAGAGGTAGCCGAGCTCATTAGTAAATGTTCACGGGTGTTTTGGCTTAGGTTCAGACAACAATCCAAGCAGCCTTCTGAGGAAACAGATGATAATTATAAGCAGACTGACACTCTGCTGACATTGTCCTGGTCACAGCAGCTGCCCCCTCCACCACACCCAGACTCCGCCACATTTCCCCAGCTATAGAATAGAAAAAAATACCTTGCCTTTTCCAGCAGACAAAAGGACAGCAGCTGAGAGGTGGTGATGGAGGCCTAGAAAATGCATGGGGTTGCCTATATACTACTGTCTTCAGGGGAAGTGCCTTTAACTTTCTACCTGCTTGCTCAGTACTTACTTAGAAATGGGGAAGTGGATAAATACATCAGTTAATCCTGCCAAAGCCTTTGATCACCACAAAACCAAGAAGCACAGCCCTGAATGTTGCCAGCTGCAGCTTCCCAGTCTCATACTCTGAACACAAACTTTTTGTTCCCCTTGTTTTAATCAGATGAATCTTTCCAAGCTGCTGATCTGCAGGTAGAGCATTTGGTTGTTGGCTCACACCATTCAGCACCTATTTAGATGTACTAAACTACTCACAGCCTGCTTGGTAGTCTCAGCTGTCACATAATCCACCTCTTAACTATGGGACTGTGCACACAGGAAAGGCCTGTGCATCTGACAGAGTTGCTTACTGATGTTTTCTGAGACAGCTGAACAACAGCATGTTTGTCATTGTCCACAGGAGTATTTTGATTTCTTTTTCTTTCAATTTCTTTCAATTAAATGAATCAATATTTAGAATAATTTCTTCGCAGAAAAGCCCAGCAAAGCACCTCTTTCCCCTCAGCCTGACCTATGTTGACTTTGACAGGTGGAGAGATCATTTCCACGGCTCACAGAGAGAGCACCATGCTCCCTGCCACACATTTCTTCACTTAAAAATAAGAGACAGAACATCCTTAGCATAAGGCAAATCACCGTTGTTTCATTCTGTGACTCTGATATGCATTAAGGAATCCAGACCCCAACAGGAAAGTTTCTTTCTGCATTTGACTATATCCAAAAGTCACTCTAAGGTACCTGACACATTCCAAGTCCATTATTGCTCAGCAGAACATTTATGCCACTGACCAGACCTGTCAGCAAGCTGCATAATTAAAGGCATTTATCACCCTCTGATGCATACGGGGAGTGAGGAAGTCATGTCACACAATTTTTAGTATTACGATTATTCTTGCTGTATTTCAGTAACTAAGTAACTAAGGTGTAAACACAAAAGACCTAACAAACCTATACTCCAAAACCCTGAAGGTGAGGTTGTTCTTTAAAAAAAAAAGAAGAAACTCACATGCTTTTATGTACCACACCTGCACAAAGTTTTCTTTTCCAATTTAGATAGAAACGCAGTTCACAAATCACAACAAACAAGGTCTGAATAAACACAGTAAAGACTTGTGTGCAGAGCATAAAATGCATAGTTAGACAAGAATGATGGCAGGGATTTTGTTTGTCCCTATTAGAATTTTGTTAGAGAGATTAATCCCATTCCAGACAACTGATAGTATTTGAGACACTCTGTACGGACAGTTGAACAACTGTGTCCACAGTTTCATCCTTGGCAGCCTCAGGCCCACTCACAGACGCACACACGCATTTTGAGAACAGCATCAGAGCCAAATGGATTTCCCATCACAAAGACAATTCATGAGGGGCACAAGGGTTTTTGTTGTTGTGGTTGGGGTTGGTTTTGTGTGTGTGTTTCGTTGTGTTGTTTGGGTTTTTCTTTAAGTGAAAAGAAGAGAAAAGAAAAAAAGCCAACTGAAATTTGTTTAACTAAATGCAATACACAGAATGTGGTAACAAAGATGCATTATACTGCACCAACGTACAGCATGGATTAATCCTGTCTGGTTGTGTCACATGCACAGTTAAGCATGAATATTATTAATGATCTAATAACAATAAATTAGCTGGTCAGGTAACTTGATAAAAGATAGTATTTTCTGTTAAAATGGCAAGAAAAAGGATCTATGAAGTTGATAATACAGTAGTGAAAAACCAGAAAATGTTAGACAAGCATCCATTGCAAATCTGTACACTCATGGGGTGTATTATGCCCCAGATCCACTATAGGTCATGAGATACTTGACTGTACACAAGGGGCCAATGAAGTTGCAAGGATTCAACCACATAAAGAAGAAAGAAATAAATCTCTTCAGCGCCATTCCCACAAGATATTTATATCCAGACCATCACATAAGGAAAACCTTCTAATGGCCATAAATTTGAATCCACATGCAAAAGCCCACAGAGACGTTTGGGCAACCAGTAAGATCATCTCTGACAAATCTCTCTCTTCTCATGGTCTGTGGGTCTGTATTTGTGGATGGGGCTTTCTAAACCTTTTGCACAGCACAGTGGTGATCAGCACCAGATGTGCAAAGAAATCAGTAAAAAGCAATATCTTAAAAGGCTTTCAATATTGTACCTTCCTTTGATGAAAACTAGCAAGCAAACAACAACAAATCTTTCCTTACATCCAATAAAAAGGGCAAATTCATCACAAGTAACAAAAAAATGTTAAAGAGAAGAAACTTGGCTTAAACTTTTTTCTTGTTACAAAATACTGACTCCTTCAAATTAAACATTTTTCTAAAACGTTCTGTGGTTTGTTTGTTTTTCCTGAACCGACAAGATCCTCTGAAGCAAAGTTATCTGCTTTCTCGCCTTGGTGGGACCCAGGCCTTTTCAAGCAAATACTGCTTTATTTTACTTTATGTTTCTAACAGAGCAAAAGCAGAGTCACTGCAGAAAGAAGCAATGAAACAAAGGAGGACGACGTTGATGGACTTCCCAAGGTCGCTGCAGGTGCCAGACAATGGTTCCCAGGAGGGGAAAATATGGTTGTTTTAAAACAAATTTGGTGCATGTGGCAAGCGTGGATGTTTCCCCGTGAGATCCAAGGTGACATGTATGACGACAGACATAGGAAAGGAGTAAGGGGAAGAAGGGAGAGGGGAGGGAAGAAAGGACGAGGAAGAAAAAGAAAGAAAGAGAGAAAGAGAGAAAAATAGATAAAAAAAATTAGGTCATAAATATAGAAAACATAAGAATCAAAGGTTTATTTAATTTTGTAAATTAAAATGGCTAAAGGTTAAAGAAGAGCATTAGCACATTCACACCGACAAAAAGGCCGGTTCAGAAGCTCAGCAATGCCCAAAGCCGCAGAGCAGATTCCAAGTCAGGGTTTATGGGGTTTGCAAGCAAATGAGATTAAAAATGATGAAACAGAAGGCTTGGCAAGAAACACAAGAAAATGGTTATCCGGTATCTGAAGGGACAACACTGTGTTTTATGTATTCACAGGAAAAAAAAAAAAAAAAAGAAAAAGCTTTTGTGTAGCAGACCATCTACCTGCTTGTCAAAGTCCTTCCTCCAAACCCTGCTGTAACCAAGGACTTGGATGTTAGATCCAGGTGACTAAAACCCTGAAGAAGCAAGAAGGTCTCAAGAACACAGGATTGATTTTTACATTAGCTTTCCAGATCCTTGTAAACTACTCTAATGCAGTTATTATTATTACTGAAAATAATACCCTCATCCTTCCAACCACTTTTAGGACACTGTACAGATGATGGTAACAAAGGACTCTACACAATAAATATACATTTTGTCTGCAGGAAATTCCTAGCTATTACTGTCAAGCAGAGCAATGCCATGTTAGAGGCACTGGCTCCGACTTCTATATAGATCATTTTGAAATCAAACTGTAAAAGCTATATGGCATGAAAATGACAAGAGGATGCTAAAAGAAACTAATACACAGAATGTCTTCCCTATTGCAATTTGGCATACTTGGACTGCATGTCAGAAAAATCTAGCCTGCTTTCTGGAAATATTTTCCCCAACATTATTAGTCTGGGATCAGCTGAGAGAACCAAAGGATCTGGAAACACCTTGGAAGGACTTATAGAAACCAAAGTCCTCTACAAAATGAAAAACACATCCAAAAACTAGTGAAAGAGACTCACAAATACAGCATAGCCAGTAATGACTTCACTGCACAGTGGTCTACATGCACATTCCTTCCGAGAACCAACTGCATCCGTCTGTTGGGACAATCCTGAAGCATATTTGCAGGAACAACTACTTCTCAAAGTCCTTCCAACAATTGAGTGGCAGCCTCAAATCCTGATTCCTCCTATTCACACCAGACTAAGTGAGGAATCACTTCAGAGAGGCCGAGGAAGTTACACCTATGATTACAAAGGGGGCTTCTAACCCTGCCCCCCATTTTTAGAGGGTTCCTACGCATGTTACTTTAGTGTTTAGGGCTCAGTGGCATCTGGACTCATCGCTCTTCCCACTGCCATGGACTACACTATGAGCACTCTATTCCAAAGGCAACAGCATTCTCAAAATTTGCTAGTACACCTATGCAAGGCACCCCAACTGTCCCAGGCAGCTTTGTTGTCCCACTGGGCATATAACAGGCTAAAAGAGAATATCAGCACAGGAAGGCAACAACGGTTGCACACGAGGGACTGTGACAAAAAGACTGATCAGTACTTGTAACTTGCCTTGGGGAGATACACCACAGTGCAAAGGAACCACTTTCTGATGTTTCCAGCCTACCGCATTTGATTGTTCAGCTCTGAACTGACCTTAAGGCACTCTTTGCCAAATTACCCTCACTTTCTCCTGCCACATCAGTCACAGTTGTCCTTCAAATATGAGGGTAGTAAGTATTAGAGCTGTTGAAAATGAGAATCAGAGAGTAAGTTGCTTAATGAGTTACGGAGGGTCCTTCCACCCAAAACTACAGCCCTGTTCAAACACACATCCCAATATCTTTTGCCCCATTACCCTCCTCCTCCCTATCCTCATCCTCCCTACTATACACATTTTTCAAGCCTCAGCCAACTAGGTCACTCATTTGTATGCTTAACATCATTATCTGTCTTAATCAAGTGGAGTTCCAGCATGCCAACTGCACAAGGTCTCAGCTGTTTCCTTCAGACAGGAAAGGAGTGAGTGCAGTGGAGGCAGACCAAGGATTGAATTCTCAGTGCAAGGGAAAGACTGAAGAAAACTCTAGTTGTGCTGAAGAAAAACACGAGGCTGAGTTAACAAACTAGAAGATAAAATGAAAACAAATCAGTTTTCAGAGAACTCCTTTCAATATGGGCTGTCAGCACCAATGTTGGCATGAATCTGCTTAAGCCTGGCTGTGCAATGAGGACGTATCTTGACTGACTCATCAGCTTGATAGTTCATCCATCTGCCTTTAACCAGTCAGAACTTTAACTTACAGGTAGTCCAGCAATTTCATCCTTTAGTTTTTATTTGCTTGGTCTTCCCCCTCCACCCCTCTTTTATTTTTTAAATGTGCACTGCTACTACCTGTGTGGAAAAGAAATACCATCTGTCCTTACAATAACTTCCAGCAAACTGCTGAATTCCTAGCATCTCAGCCAATAGTGTCTGCTTGTTCTTCATAGCGTTTGTGCTTCTACCTCACCTTTTAAGCACGCTCTGTCTGAAACACAAGTTTCAGGTGGTATTCTAATGCTATTTCGACAGTTTTTCCCAATGCCCTCCTCAACATTAGAACAGTGCTGTTTAAAAATTACTATCATTTAATCTCCATTCCAATTCATTAGAAAATCTACAGAGAAAGATCCAACCACTAGCAAACTCCGTATGCCTTTATTTCTCCAAAGGCTGAGCTGGATGGACAAATGAGCAGTCAGCAAGCCCAAAGCAGATTTGAAAGCAAAATCTGCATTGTGAAAAGCATTGCCCCAGAGATCTGAATGGTCTCTTTTGCTGTAGTTTAAAACGGAAATCCCACTTTCTGGTTTCAGAAAGTGTTTTCTATCCACTGCTTTACTCATCTGGCAATCTTGTTACCTTGATACAAAAAGCCAACATTCCCTGTAAACAGTCAGACAAGGATTTGTCATGTAGCATTCCTAACAGTGCACTACTAATGCTGTACATACTGTAACATGGACTACAGTACAGGTATGTACATGGCAAAAACTAAGCTTTGGATGGGTAACCAATTGTGATAATGGCTTTAAGCAAGCAAGTTGTCAGGGTTACTCAGGCACATTAAAGGATGCAGCACTGTTGCATTAATTGGAAGCAGAAAACAATGGTAAATAAAGCTTATAACTGCTGTACCTGGGATGACAGTAGGCTGAGCAGAAGTTCGGAAAGCATAGTGAGCTGGTTTGGACTTCCCTTGCTGGTTTTCAGCTATCACATAAACCTCATACTCCGCATTCCAGTCCAGGGACTTGAGCATGACGTGGTCACTGCCAGATGGAAGTCTTATCTCTGGTTTCCATTCTGACGAATGCTTCTGCAGAGCAGCAAGACGAAAGGCAGGGATGCAAAACACACAGCACAATGTTAGTAGCCAGCTTTGAGAACAGTGTAACAGCTAACTAACAAATGGAAAAGCAGGGAGGTTTCTACACAAGCAAACACTCCTCCTCAGCTAATTCAATGTCGTGTGCTGTTGGCTCTAAGTGGAAAGGACAGGAGATACCAAAGCAGCCTCTTTCTGCTCAGAATCCTGTTTTCTGCAGCATTATCACACCTGAAGAAAATCCCTTGGTTCTTCCTCTCATCTTTGCCATCTCACTAGACTACTTCCATTTCAGAGAGGAAAAGCTGTAACTTTGCCCTGCAAAACACTTTAAGAATGTTCTTTCATATCTTATTATGTGTGAGAGACAGAGTTTTACCTCTTAGCACAGGTCTGGCCTAGCTTACCACTACCATTCTATTCTGCACCATTTCAGAGATTTTTAAAGGTGCACATGACTAGTAACTCTGGTAATTCCTACTCTGGTTTCAGGAAATCCAGATATACATTTTACCCAGACGAATTTGAAAAGCCCACTGCCAAGGTACCTTGAGATAGACTTAGGCAGCTTTCTGGGACTGGAGTGAGCTAACAGACTTTTCTGACTCTGCTGGAATTTATGGTTCTGTGACCCCAGATTGTCCTTTTGACTTTCCCAAGACTCTCTCCATTCTAAGAAGCTCTAAGTAATTGAGTTACACAAAATGATGGCGGTAACAAATACTCAAGATTTCTATAAAGCAGTGCAAAGTTTGCTCTGTGACTTTACTTGAAGGATTGCTCATTCATAGCATATAAAGAGAATATAGCCAATACAGTTAGTTCAGTACCATATATGACAGACTCAGTTACTAAGGATGTGTCCTTTTTTACTGATAGCCAGAAAGTTTCCATAATGCAGCTCAAACACAGTGGAAAAGCAGAGTATACCCCAGGTGTATTAAGAATGAGAAAGTGTGCAGACAACAGAAAAAAGCTTCAATAATTTCTGGCAGTTCTTTCTGCTGCCCTGAAGAACTTCCTATTTTCACTGACCCTCTCTCACGGTCCAACTCCTCAAGCATGTGCTAAGCAATCTCTCCGACTAGATATCCTTTGTAGGAGAAAACCCCCATCAAATACCACCTAACCCAGAACAAAACCTTACAATACTAGATGCTCATGACATAAATAAATAAGAGCTGATCAAGGTAGGCCTAAAGGAACTGCTTCCCATAGCATCAGTTTACCTGTGTCTGTACCGACTACACTGAATGTCTTATTTAATAATCTGCTTTAATAATTTGCTACTGAAGCAGCCATTACTCTATCAAATATGGCAGTTTCAGTGACTGATTGAAAGTTATGATTAGATATATGTCTGAGGGTGGGCAATACTCTACATTATGAAACTCTGGTCCCCAGCTATTTAAATTGTTGCTGGCAATCCCATCTCAGAAGTATATGAAATGAAGTAATGCTAAGTGCACATAATTACCATGCTTCTACAGAAGACAGCATAGAGAAATAACCTTTCATTGTCAAAGTGAAAGGAAAGAAAACGACACAAAGATGTTGTATGTTGCTTCTGTGCATATCATGTCTCATACCCTATATACTTCCACCATGCCTGCTTAGTATGTGTTCCCATACTGGCCCACCTACAAGATCTTAGCTGCAGGGTTGTCTGTCTACGTAGTGAAACCTGAGTACTGAACAGGCTGAATACAAATCAGGCTTGAGCATCAGTCATACTTACAGCTTTGTATTTGATCAGATAATGTCTAATTGGGGAGCCACCATCATCCTGCTTGATAACATTCACTTTAATGGAGTTCCCATCTTCTCCCATCTGACCTTCCAGTTTAGGTGCGCTGGGTTCCCCTGAAACAATGGTGGATTTATGTTTATTTGTTTAAAAAACCAACAAGCATTAGGGAAGAAGTACTCATGAAAGTCAGAATAATACTTCATTATACTCAGCTGCCAGGGTATCAGCCTCATTCTGACCCAGACGCAGAGGACGCTGTGCGCTTATGGTGCAAACAGTTGCAAGACTCAAGTATTTCTTGCATTTGGTAGTTTGTTTTCACCAATACAAATCACCATTTTTGTTTGTGCTGGAAGAGAGTCAGAGTCTAAGTGAAAAAGATCCCACTCTACCCTAAGAATAACCGAGAGCAATGACAAGTTCCTCACAATTTTTGTTGTAAAACACTGATGTGAAACATGTGGAAAACACCAAGATAGGGCATGTGGCAAACAGGCAAGAGCCTTGCCACCCTCACAGTAAAGAACTTCTTCCTTATACCTAACCTGAACTTCCTCTGTTTAAGTTTAAACCCATCGCCTCTTCTCTTATCGCTACAGTCCCTGATGAAGAGTCCCTCTCCAGCATCCTTGTAGCCCCCTTCAGACACTGGAAGGCTGCTCTGAGGTCTCCACGCAGCTTCTCTTCTCCAGGCTGAACAGCCCCCATGTTCTCAGCCTGTCTTCACATGGGAGGTGCTCCAGCCCCTGATCATCTTCGTGGCCTCCTCTGGACTTTCTCCAATCACTCCATGTCCTTTTCATGTTGAGGACACCAGAACTTCACACAGTGCTGCAAGTGGGGTCTCACAAGAGAAGACGGGCAGAATCACTCTGAATGCTGCTTACGTTTTACAGTTGCTGGACCAGAGACTCACTGCTGTGCATACTTAAATGAGCGTGGAAAAAACAGTACTGCATCAAAACATCTTTTCACTCAGCTTGCACTGGTGTAACTAAACGCAGTGAATTCAGGCTGGAGAGAACGAGACATCTTCACTCTTCTGTAGTAACCATTTTTAGAAGAAAAAGCCAACATTTCCCAACTTGCACACCAACATCAGCAGAAAACTAGAATGTCTGCAGGGCACACACATTTACAGCCACTCCCTTTCACACCCATGTCTCTACAACGGCTTTTTCTAGCCAATTCTTCCCTAACCTGCACACAGTCCACAGAGGATAGTTCCCAATCCCAAGGCACTTCCTTCTTGCACCTTTACTGTAACACCTCACTTAACAAAAGCCAAATCCACACATTGTCTGATTACATATTTACACCTCCACCCCTCCCCACCCTCAGAAATACTGCAGGAAATTGCTCAAGAGAGATGCTTTCATCTTGTGCTTTCGTATGACCCCAGGGATCAATTGTTTCCAAAGTGTTCTGACAGTCAGTTGTTTACTATGTAAGAGGCATTATTACATATTTATTTGGTTTTGTGGAAAAAGAAACCCAGCAACTAAACAACCTCTTTTTCCCAACAACGTAAGTATCAAATTAGCAAAAGAGTTTAAATGATAAAAGAGCACATGTCTCTCTTTCCAAAAGTGACAGACCACAAGAGAACTCAGATCCTGCTAACTTTCTATCAGTGCCCAGATGCCTGCTTTATTCCATTTTATGTAAAGGCAAGAAAGGCTTAGGTTCCTCTGTGCCGACGGTCATCTGAGACTGGATTTAAAGCTATTATTTCTACAGCCCTGAAATGTTCCAAGAGTTTAAACGCTAGTTTAAAGACTTGACAAAATACATCATAAATCTCACTGAAGCTAGATTGTTTTATGGTACTTACTAACTTATTTAGTATTAGCTCTGTGATATAGTCCAAGTGCTAAAGCCATGAATTCTGAGCTTAAAAGCTTTTTAAGAACTTTTGACCATCTGAGCTGCTATTCTCTGGAAGCTGTTCTACCCAATTTCTTTATGGGTAATTGAAGCAAAACCAACACTGCAATTATTTGTAAGGTGAAAATTACCAATCAGCTGCAGTTGGCAATTCCAGCAAACTCCTGAGATTAATTACACTTCGCTGGCTGGTCACATTACAAGGTCCTAATTCTTACAGGCATTTCATATAACAGTTACAGTGGTCAAATGTTAAAAAGCAAAGAATTCCTACACCTCTGTTTAACTACAGTTATGCACATTCTATGCATTTTTAAAAGTATTTCTATATATTCATCTGAGTGGTGAACAGCTCATTTAGAACTGATTACAGGAAATTTATATACAGAGAATGCACATTCTGCGTTTAGCTGTGCACCCTGAATCTAAATAAACTTCCCACATGTTTGCAGCCACAAACACTCGCACAGGCTTGCTAATGCTGAGCACACACTTGACCATTCTAGCTCCAAGTGACCTATAGTTCTGCTAAAGCACCTCTGTCTACTTGCAGTAGCACTCGTGGTTTGGGCAGTGATCTTCCTTGAACACTTGTGAACAAAGTGCACTGAAATACAATTAAAAGATGATCAGATTCTGAATGTATCCCAAAAAGAACACCACCAAATCTCTGAAACTGTGACATTTGCAACTTGAGAGCCTGAATGTAACCAAGAAAACAAACCCAGGACACTGAAGTAACATTTGTGTCTGTTTAAAAGCTCAGCCTGTTGTCTAGCATAAAACTTTTTAAAAGACTAAATTCTGTTGCATTATACTAAAAGTGAAAGGAAATAATAAGCCTGTAGTTGTATTAAGATCAACTCTAAAAGATAACAGCAGTCCTGGGAATTTACAGGAGCTTCTTTCAATTCTAAATCTATTCTGTCTGGATTTGTATTCAGCTACTAATGGAGAGCACATGCATTTCTGACTGGCAAGAGAAAGGTTAATCTTTCACTATCTTTCAAAGTTGATCTTTAGAAGTAATTTGAAGCCTCTCTCCCATCCCCTCCAAAGATGGAATTCAAGCACTTTTTTCGGTTTTGTGAAACATCAATGAGAAACCTGCAAGACTCACACCTGAAATAGTAATGTAAGATTAATTCATTTTTCTTGTGGACAAACACATGCTCTAATATAGCAATGGTTTAAGAAGGTAATTACAATGCATGGATACACAGAGCTTTTTGATCAAAGATACTGATGTTTGCGTTTCACAACATAGTAATACTCTTACAGATATAATGAGGGAATGCTCCTTTTTTCCATGTTAGTTTTCTTTTCCAAATCCTTGCCTTTGCCTGTATTCCCATTACAAGACTCCCACGATATGAGCTGTACACTCAAGAGCCGTATTCCAGCTTGTGAAAGGTTTCTCGGTGACTATACATTGAAAACACATTTGTTTAGACAAAAGAGTGGATCATCTTTACTACCAGCTAACTGAGGCTGTTTTGAAAAACCCTTCCCAGCCCATATTTCTCCAGGAATTATGAATGCTGAAAGCATAAGGCTTTTATGTGATTGCAGACTGAAAATTAAATAGGAACAGCAAGTTCCTGCTCTAGGTGAGCCACAGTACCTCACCGAGGCATGCTGAAAATATCAGATTAACCAAGCAATTATATTCTTTTCTTTCCTTAATCTTTAAAGAAAAATATCACCACAAAGGTTACTGATTTTGACTATTGGCTTGATCTGAGTTGAAAGAGCTATTACTGCAATAAATGTGTTACAACCATTAACCAATAATTAAATGAAACCAGAACTAGACAGTACAAGATCAACATACTCTTTCCAATCCTCATTTGAGACATAATTAGTAATAAGAGATCTTGAAGTGATAAGGGAACACTGTATGTAGAGAATCTGACCTCTGATCTATAAGGGAACACTGTATGTAGAGAATCTGACCTCTGATCTAACACAGACTAGAAATTTTTCCCAGTGATTAAGCACCAAGACTAAAACTCGAATGAACACCCTTTGGAAAGATGCTCATTCTTGATAGATTTTAAATGTCAGACATGCTGCTGCACCTTATACACAGCCATTCCAATGATTAATTACCCTCTCTGCTGAAAATTTTCTTCACTTCAAATTGTCTAGTTTATAGCTCCCAATTCCTTCCTTCCCCAATAGTTTAAACACACTTCTGCTCTGAGAAACACTCTATTCAAATAGGAGAATATGGACCACTCCTAACAGCTGAAACCCAACAGGCATGGCACTGCAAGCCCTGGTGAAGAATGCTTTAGTTTTCATAAATACATGGCATTTAATTTATCTTAAGCAGGCAGATGTAATCCAGATACAGGGCTGTAAAATTAAAAATGGGTTAGTGTGTAATTTCAAACAAAGGAGGAAGAAGTTTAGTGGGAAAAGTTTAGTCCAGCAGAATCAGCATCCCTATGAGTCAAAATGTCAGTAGCTGAAGAGAAAAGTTTGTCATCAGAAGGTTAGAGAAGAAACTCATGCTCACAGAACATGCATCCTCCCCACAGGATGGGGGCTGAAAAGCAAAGCGCATTACAAAGGTGTGCTACATGCCTTGGGTCTCTCATTTATACTGAGCTGACTGGATGTATTGCAGAAATCTGCCTATTCCACCCATAAAACATGGGATCCTTAAACAATCCCCCTTGTGATGCTGCTATTTAGCTTATTCAGAGCAGACAGCTAGAAGCATGCCAGACTTCCTCTTTATAATCATTTACAAACACTTGTCTGCTTAGAATTCTCTTTGTGGCATGGGAGATGCAGGATCTCATGCTTTCACTCTATGGTGTGACAAAGCTGAACGATTATGTCTGAGCCAAATAGCATCTTATTCGGCCCAGCAGCAAGAATATCAACTAATGCAAGCGGAGACTTCTGAAGGGCAGAAGGCAAGAAATAAATTTTCACCCCTGTGCTTTACTCTCCTTGAGATAGGGGATGAATTTTGCTCAAAGATGTAAAGTTTACAAGTTCACAGGAATGCATGCTGGACCCCAGAAGTGACAGCAGTGCAGATGACAGAGACCTTTTAACACATCTCTTTTTTGCTTCCATCAAATGGGTTACTCCTGCTCACCTCTGGAAAGCAGCCAGTTGGTTACTAGTCAACTGCAGCACTTCAGACTATGATCTTAAATCCTTGCCCAGCTGGCAACGAAGAAAGATCCTGCATCCTTGCTGTCCT